TATTGTGAAGTGACTTAACTTGTGTGGCAGGCATGATGAATACACCCACTGGAGAGTAGAGGTCACACATACTATATGTACTTAATCATCTCCTTGACTAAAAGTAGGTCTGCATGTATGCTTCCATGCACATCACCCCTTGTCCTTGCACCCTTGGGAGAACATGACAACATACATCCTCCACTTTCTACCCCATCATCATGCTTGATCTGGGGACTGTCCAGTGTGTCAGTGACTCAATACCAACGGCCCCGTTTCCTCATGGTCCTGACTGAGCGGGGGCTAACGCGGAGGGACAGGCTGAGTCATGCGGCTGGGGACGCTCCGCTGGCGTGCTGCCTGTCTCTTCACCTCACCGCGGTCTCGTGGATGCAGTCTGACAACGGGCTACGGAGGCGCTGCGAGTGCCTCTTTCTTCAGCATGACACAAGATGCCAGAGTTCAAGAACACTAAAGTCGTTACAGTTGCTCATGCCTGTTTATTCTACCCGTTGGTGTCGAGCTGCATTTGTGACCTGTTGGGCTAAGAGAGAGTGGGCACACCAGGGACTTGTGGGGTTTTCAGCGTTGCTCTTTTTGTCAAACTGAAATCAAAACACTTAGGTGGTTCTCATCAGAAAATAATTCCCAAATCCCCACACTCAATATAGAATATATTCACTTGAAAAATCCACCCTCAGCAACACACAGAGAACTGCACCAAGGTTGGGCCGGGGACCTTCTCACTGACCTTCAAAAACAATTATTCGTGGCTGATATTTTGTCCGAATTTCATTTTTGGGGTGCAAATCTGGGTAAAATAAAGAACATGCTATTTGGATTGTACTGATTTTAGATTTCTGTTTAAATATAGTACAATTTCAATAAAATAATAACTTAGAATACATAATTTAGAATACAAAATGAATAATAATCTAATGTTATAATTTAAAGTTTTGTATCAACGACATTAATTCCATTCTGGTTCTTTCCAAATCTCTCGCGGGTAAACCGCAATCTGCGACAAAGGAAATCTAATTTGCCTCAGGCCAGGTTGGGTTGCCCCTATGCATTTATTGCACGTCGTGGTGTCCTTATCACCCAGAGTATTTTTACTTTTGTTTGTGTTGCTGAAAATACTTACTTAAAGGTCCCATGTCATGCTTTTTCGGTTATTACCCGTCCCCTTGTGTGTTATTATCAGTTATTATGTAGCTTTTTATGCATGTAAACGATCTGCAAAGTCACAAACCCTCAAAGTACACCCTGTAGCGAGTGAAACTCCAACACAGAAAAGACGTGTCTATGCTGCCCCAGAACGCCTCGTTGGAGATTTTATTTTCCCATGTTTTTCTTCCGGCAACCAATGTGACGTAACGACGATCCAAATGGACCAATCCGCGGAGCTCCTCACGCACACACACTCAGCCAGCCTTATTTTTCTCAGCTGCAGCTCCGTGGATTTCTCCCGGTCTGTGTGTGCTAGTGATGGGATTTATGGCTCTTTGAAGGGAGCCGGATCTTATGGCTCCGTTCCTTTCAAAGAGCCGTTCAAAAGAGTCGTTCAAAAGAGCCGTTTTTTTAAAGGGGGCGGGGTTACTAGGTTTATCTGCGAAATAATCACCAGGATAATGATTGACTGTATTGTCAGACCTAATGTCAATAATCTGCATTGTAAACATGACAAAAGGTGGCGCCATATTCATGTCAGTGAATGTATTTTGAATGTAGCCTCCAGCATCCAACTGCGTTTTCGCGTTTGGCTCATTTTCCATCCGAAAAACACGTTGTCTACCTGTCCTGTACCACTTGTTATGACTTCTCTCTCTCGTGTATTCCGTTAAGCCCCACCCCATCTCACTCCTCGTGCTGAAACCTGGTGTTCACTCTCTGTCCTAAACGGATTGTTGGAGCTCGCCCCCCCCCTGTGAGCCCAGTGTGCTCTGATTGGTCAAGCGACGTGCAACTGCTCGCGAGGAGCTGCTGTGAGGAGCAGACAGGGTTTCCGTGTCGAAGATAGATACAGTCAGANGCTAAAAACCAGGCTCAGCCATTGGACTAAAACCCCTTGTGTGACATGAAAACTGGGGGACATGATTTTTTGAGTATAGTTTTTTTATTAAAAAATGTAACCCACAATAAATATAAATATTCCAACTTCTGTTTGAATGTAATCATAAAGATCTTCTAAATACACCATTCAACAAAATAAAATAAAAATGTTTTAAGTGTTATTTACAGAACTTGAAATGTAGATGTCAGGGTTGGGGACAGCTACTTTCCAATGGAAAGTACCCTATAAATGATGTTTTTGTATATATTAAGCTTATCACTATATAATTGAATGCCTTATGTTTAAATAGACCCTAACATATTCTTAGTAAATATCTATGTCTGAATACTTAATTGTTTTGTTAAATAGTTTTGTTGTTGTTGTGGGACCGCACTTTGCATCAATTCGGTAGAATGCCCCATACATGTTTACCCTTTGCCATCTGACGCAGATGCCCAGCCATGGGCAGCCGATATCTCCCTTAAGGAGGGGCTGCCCAAGCATTTTGTTATTGTTACCAGTTTATGACCGGGCAACTTCGGTCAGAGATAGTTATTATTGTGGGACACCTGGAACACATCCTTCTTGGGGTGTAGATGACCCCAGAGCCATAAGCGTCACAATTGTGATTCAGTTTCCTCATCTGTTTAGTCTATCTATTGAAGAATGTTGATTATTACACTCTGAACTAGTTAAAACCTTGAACTACAGGAGGGTTCTTGAGAATTGATTGTGGCATCTCAACCGTGTGGTCAACTCGTGGCCCGTGACATGTCTTGTCAATTCTCCGGACGAAGCTCCAAATAAACCATCAGTGTTTGTCATCAAAGTTCCAGCTCTCCACCGTGTCTCTCTTTGAGTCCTGACTCCAGGTGCTTCAGAAGTTTCCCCTACAGATAGATATTAAAATATGTCTTGAACTGCAAATGTTTACTAATTAATCTTCAATCAATTGAAAACACTAAAAAAAAACGAATTGCTTTTAACAATCCCTAATGAATACCGAAAACCTATTACCCTCTAGGCAGGCATTCTTTCAATTGTGTTAAAAAAATAAATGAACCCCTTGAGTCAACAATTCAGGCTTAAGCTGACATATGCAGTTGAGTTAAACATTGCATAACATGCAATAAAACATGTTTAATGTCCGGGGTTGAGTTTTGTGCAAAGCTATTTATTTGGTTTTCCTTTGCTCACACTGCTTTACCTTCCCTGACGGCAGTGTAGGCGGGGTGAATGATGAAAAACCACTCAGACAGGAGATTCAAAATGTGGACACACTGTGGTGCCGCAGGCCAACTCTCTGAAAATGATGGCGAGATTATAGAAGTCTTTACCCCCTGCCATCAGGAAATGATTTGCCCTGCTCCAGGAGAAGACCTACCACACACAATGAAGCGTTAGGTTGTGCCTGTATCCATGCAGTTTTACAAAGTGTAACAAGGCAACTTCAGACTTTCACCTTTTAGCTTGACACCCTCAGAATTAAAAGCAATTTATATTCAGACTGAGACTTCGACACCCTTTTTCCGCCTGGAGCCTTCACACTTGCTGGTGTAGATATAGACTTCCTTACATGCTCTGCATCTGGCCTCTGTCTGCGTCTGAGAAAGAGAAGAACATTTAGAAATCTCTGCTGAACAGATGACTGCCCAGTAAACCATGTTACTTTCAGACAAAGGCAGGAGTAGATTTAAAAAATAAAAACAAAGGAACCTAAGAATAGACAATCATGTTCATCATCGCTCTCCCTGAATTTGTCATGCCAGTGTTATTGTGTGCATTATGTTGCCAATTGTTTGCATGTTTGTAAAATAATAATACATTATCTTTGTTATTTTGTGTATTGGGCTACAAAATGTGTAGCCATGCATGCCCCCCGCCCACCTCACCCCCAGTCACTTTGCATTATTTCTGCTGTGGCTTGATGAAAACAAATATGAGACCAGTAGGAGCTTTAGACCAAGCCAAGTGAGCCACCCAGGCTTCTGGGACTTCAGTGCCAAGATGATGTCACCACGTCCGCCTGTAGGCCTGAATTTTCATACCGAAGCTCTAATGTGGTCAAGAACAAGGACATCGCAACTCACCGTTAACGGGAGTTCATTATTTTCCTCTCCTTAGGAACTGTCATTAACACATTACCTGAAGGATGTTATTATATCAATATGTTTCGCAAAGAGTATTGGGTCGTCGTAGGATTTATATCTGTTGCCATAGGATGCTACCAAATATGGTAATCTGGTGGAATAACACAATTACCATTCTAATAGGGTAACTTCTCATATGTAAATATCTGTTAGTCATACAGAAAATATTTAACTAATTTGACTGTTGGTTGGACAAACCAAACATTTGTAGATATCTACTTTGGATTCTAACAGACATTTGTCACTTTTCAAAAGAAACAATGATAACAATACATTTCTAGTTTCTTCAGTTACAGTTTTTCTCAGTTTATTCCTAAAAAGTCCTCATTCTGTGAAAAAAGGTTGTATAACGTCTCCTGTTTCTCTGAGGTGAGCTTTCTACAGTCTGAGAATAACCCTGATGATGTCATAGTGACGTAATCCGCGTTTCCCTGGATTTTGAGTACGACCTAACATTTTACAGAAGTCCTTAGTTGCAATTACGGTTTTTAAAGATTTGGGCATTGAGACTCAACAGCAGTTAAAGGATATTCAAAGGCTCAACATTTGTGTTAAGTTATTGTTGTTTTTCTCCAAATTAGTTGTAATATCATAAAAACCTCCTCAAACTAATATGTATTCAAATCTGATATAAGAGGCCAAAAGAAACCTCCCCCATCCTTAAAGGAATAAGAAATTAGCCTCTCAGTGTCAAATTGCAGAATCATTCTGCACAGTAAATATTGAACAGTATTACCGTATATGTTCAGGACAAATGGCATCTAGCACTAAAAAAAAAAAAATGATACAAAATAAATAATGAAAACATCTGACAGTTGTTATTTTTTAAAACAGTAGCACTTTTATAATTCATTCAAACAGCTGCTACAAATGTTGTGTATAGTGAAAAGTGAGTGCACACAGAAAATAAAATCACAGACTTAGTATTTACAAAGAGCCGCTTCAAGTGTAAGAAAATACAGTGTTACAGTATATATTTATAAAGTCTGTTGATTCTGTTCCCATTACCAATGGATTGTCAAATACATCCCGTCACATCTTAATTATACATATCATCAACATACAATCATATTACATATTATGTAAATATCAGCTCATTCATGTTGGGTATTGTAGTCCAAACAATAATTTTGCACATTTATCATTGAGGACAGGGCTGGTATTTGTGCTAAAAATCGAGGTCTCAAACTGCAAATAAACGGTTTTAAGAATGTGCTGCTGTTTACTTTTTTCTGCTCTTCATTTTGTTTTATTCATAATGTATACTATCAACCAAAATGTGTTATTTGGATATATATACGGCACCAAAAAAAAAAAAAAGTCTAGCTAGTTTTTTGCCCCAAACTGGGATCACTGTTGAGGCCCTTAAAACTTAAAATAAACGTTACTGCATTGGGCAGCAACTCTAAGGTATCACATTCATGTTTGTAATGTTTCTGAGTGAAACCGAAAGAAATTGCACATTCAAACCCTTCCCACTAAACCACATTTGTCAGTGCATGTTGTGTCAATAATGTAAGTCGGTGTTAGGAGCAAACAGAGCATGTCACACCACTGAACTGTAGTGGTGGGTGCTGGGAAACTAATCTCACAGTAAATTGAATCGGGACCCCCCAGTGTGCCTTCGCCTGTCTCTACTCACTCCCCCACTTATTGTTCCCCGTGTATGTCCTCTGTTAGGACATAAGTATCTTGGTTGCATACAGCAGAATCCCACCCAGACTGGTAGTGGCAGCAATAGCGATGACCCTCACTAAGAGGAAGTCCATGGAGTCCTCCAGCCGTGTGTGCAGTCGCAGGACCTGCCTGTGGGTGTCCTCTCGGCTGCCGGAGTTCTCCACAACGTGATTGGCCAGGCCGCGCTTTTCATTGAGCGGCATCTGTGCGGCAACGCGCTGCTCTGCATGCTCCTGTGTCAGGCCGTCCCTCTGCATCAGGCGCAGCAGCTGAGTGGCAGGGTCACTGAGAGGGAACAGACAATGGAGGTTATTTATGGAGCAGCCAGGGTGCCTTGTTAAAAAAATCCAGAGGCAGTGAGTCATGCTAATAAATGTCATACAGAGGGGAAGAGAAAGGTAACCCAAAACTCACAAAACTGGGCTTAATGGCCAGTTTCTGTCAAAAACAAACATCAACATATTTTAAGATTTTGATGAGAGAAACCTGTAAATAATGAGTCATCTAAAATAACGGGGAAGTTAGCAGTGGGCTTACCAGTAGACTACTACAGTGTGGTTGAGAAACTTAGTGAGACGTCTTGTTTCGAACAGAAGGGGCACATCCAGCACGACGTAGCGATATCCTGTGCAAACAAAAAGTGCCTCAACACATTTACACTATAACATTATGAAATACAAGTAGCAAAGTTCTTAACTTTTTAATAACATACACAGTGGCTGGATCCACCATCACGTTTAACCTCGTAAAAACTATTGGTAATATTCAAAAATGTTGGCATTATTTGGCGTGAAGTGAGAAATTCATACAGCTTTGTGACTATCAGCGCTCCACATCAAAACAGCCATAGCTCCCTTTCAGTAGATTGTAACTCAGACACACTTAGCCTCACCTCTGAGAAAGTACAACAGGATCTCTTTGAGCATTGCTTTATGGATCTCCGGGTGGGTGATGGAGTTCAGCAGCTTCCTCTTCTCCTCGTCGGCGAAGATGAGCTGACCGAGCTTCTGCCGGTCGATCTCGCCATTCTCGAGGAGGATCTCCGGTCCAAAGTGGTAAACGATGCGGGAATAGGCCGTAGTGTGCTGCTCCACAACTTGTATCAAGAAAAGAAAATCTTGATTAAAAAGGTCCCCTATTATACTGTTTTTCATCAATATATTATAGGTCTCAGATATATACAAACATATCTCTGAAGTGTTTGGCTCCAAACACCAAACAGATCATTGAAGCATCCCATAATCCCCTCTGTTTCAGCCCTGTTTCAAAAGTGCTGATTCTCTGTCTTTTACTTTAGATGAAAATAAGGAGCCACTCCCCACTTTTCCCGTTCTAGCTCCGTGCTAGAGCTTTTCTGGTTCGGAACCAGTTCTTCGGTTCAGCTCCCGCTCTGTTCACACCGCTCAGAGCGCGACTGGTGCTGCGTCATTGCGTCATCGTTTGCGTCATGACGTAACCGTTTGCGTGCCTGCTTCATAAAGCCAAACCGCGCGGAACCCCCTCACATCGACAACAACAACAATGGCCGATTGTATTGAAGCGCTACTCGTTTTGCTCTGTCGAAACTAAATTGAAGAAATGGGACGACTTTACTGCCAACTTTACAGTCGTTACATGCTACATTCAAAAGTTCTTACACAGTGGGCCAAAATAAAAAAATCGGTACTAGTCAAGGGCCGGACTGGTTCAATGGTTATTGCAAAACGTATTGAAATGAACTTATTGCACATATTAAACCTGGAACTAACAAAGCTTAAATGATTGCCTAACAACATTACACAGGGTTAGGCTTTTTGTTGTTGTTAGAGGTTGATCTCGCCCCTGCCCCCCGCCTCCGACGTAAGCTTGACGTATGCGGTGCTTGCTTTCTAGACCGACAACTTTTTGGTGCTTGAAACGAACCGGATCCCGGAGCTTAGAGGCGGCTCCGCTGCGGTGTGAACACGAAAAACCGGTGCTTTTGAAGCTCCAGCTCCAAACCGCGTTGGTGTGAAAGGGGTATAAGAGAGATATTTGGTTAAAAAGAAAACAATGGTGCTCTAGGAGGAGATTCAGGTGATAAGGTGGGCGGGTGTTACCTTGGTTGGTTATTGGCTGATGGTTACACAAGCCAAAAAATCGTTATGACATCATATATAAATGGATCAAGACAAAAAGTGAGCAAATCTTTTTTCCTGAAACTTTCAGAATCTCTTTACACCGAGGGGACACATGTTTATGTATAAAAGACATGACAAAGTTGCATAATAGGTGAACTTTAACACAGTGTCAAAAATAAGAACATATACCGTTTTACACTAACTAAGAAAAGTAGTACACACAGAAAAATACACACAGAAAAAGATACACAGAGGGGAAAAGGGGGATTAGAACATATTGTTATCGATTTAATAACAATCCCCAGAGTGCATTTCAATCTTTATTCTATTATTTTCTACATGCAGCTGGGACATTTCCCATAGTTCTGTGACCTTTTATCTTCACCAGACAACTACTAGATCATCCCTGCAGTCAACAGAGATGGCCGTCATGATTCATGCACTCTCTTCAAGCGTTTGTCTTAATGAACCTCCTACAGGCTCAACCTCTTCATGTCCATTTCAGTATAATAATAAACGTTATGAGTCAGTGATGTGGGACATATGGGTGAATCCATATGACCACATGTGAGTTCATTTGAGTTCTCCTGGATGACAGTGTTGACTAGTTATTCTAACTCTTGACTTGAAATCTTAATATTTGCAGGAGAGATTTCCACGTACCTTTCCTTGCTACAACATCAGCATCAATAATGGGACACCCGAGCTCCCGCAGCATCGTAGACACTGCGCTTTTCCCTGAGGAAATACCTCCCGTCAGTCCCACCAGGAACATCTTGAGGCAAAGACACAGGAAGTTTAACCAGGGAGTAATGTCACTAAAGTAATACAAGAGTTACTGTAGCTGTATGGTGACTCTGAGAAGCTGATTCAAATGTATACAAAAAGCAATCTCATCATAAAAAAACATGTTGATTGGAAATATCAATTGTTTTTAAGTACAAAATCATGGCTAAAAGAGAAACAGCATTGTTCTTAAACCCAATACCACAATGTATTGGGCATATTTGTGGATGGGTTTTCTCTTTTTTTTTTTATCCTTTTAAACTTATGAAAACAACCGAGTATTGTTTTACAAATAACTGTCAGCATGTTAGTATTTTAACTTTCATGTAAAGTTCATACCAAATAAAAAAATAGTTTTTGTAAATCAGGGCAATGCAGAAAAAAAAAGACATTATTACAATTAAAAGGAAATAAAAGCTGACAAGGTGTATATATGATGTGTTTGTCCACATACAGTAGAGCCAATATAAAGGGCAATTCAAGCTAAATCTAAGAAAGATGATAGAGACATATACAGATGTTTCGAATACATTTCTGGAAATATCCAGGTGTTGCTTGCTATTTATAATGAGTATATTAAGACTGGTGCTGCTATGAGGGCAACACGCCCCCTGCTGTGGAGAGGCTGAGCTGCACTCAGTGTGTGCACAAATTAGATAACAAGCAAACTAAAGTTAGTTAGACAGCTTTAAAGTTATTCTTGACTCAACACCAAAATAAACCCAGACCAGACTCTACAGCTCCTTTATTATGCAACCAATGTATTTGAGAGAATGGCCAGTTAACAGTTATTTTTTTAGTTAACCACAAAATCCCCCTTGTTGTATATTCACCTTGTAAACGTGTGCTTCTCCTTAATTCGGCTGAATGTACTTTGGGATGTCCTGCAGAGCCACAGCGGTGTAGTAAACAACCAGGATTGCTAACAAGCTAACGTTAGCACAAGTCTTTATCAGGTGAGAGCGACTACAAATCTGCAATACCACAAACCAGAAGCCATCTCCACTCCGCCCTTTCAGATATGCAGTCAGAAAAAAATGGCGAGCACATTCGTGTTGCTAAATATTGCTGTATGTAACTCTGACTTGCACTCAACTGATTGCTAACGACCTAGCTTCTTAGCTTGACAAGCGCCACCTCGAAAGTCTTCCGACTTTGCCGACGTACGTTGGTTCCGCTTAGTTAATTGCAAATTCCCATTTAAAACTTGAGGTCGGACCACTGCGTTCAATAAAACATTTGAAAACAAATATCAGCGATAAACAATTTCTCCAAAACGTGTTTATTTCAAAGCAAAACATTAGCATGAATGAAAATGTAATAACACTGTTTTTAAGAAATGACAAAGGAAAAAAAACACATTTTGTTTTCGAATTAAAATGTATATACAATGCTTGCAGAAACAACAATTACAAATTATATATTGGCAAATTGATTCTCCTGTGAGAATATATTAATCTTCTGCTTTTTCATCTGTACTTTGTTTTGGTGATGACATCTCTGATGAAACAGGCAGACTAGGGGAACTGTGGGAATGTTTGGACTTTTTCCCTCTGTGCACCGTTTCACCTCCATTCTCCCCTTCCTCCCGCTCCAGCCTGCCTCTTTTGACAAAATGGTTTATCCTGGACTCCAGGCTCTCGCAGCACGGACGCTCAAGCAGGGGCCGGTAGTTTCTCTGCTTGCTGCCTTCTACTAGACAGCAGGCATTGGAGGACACTCCACCTGTAAATAGAGACGAGTGAAACAATTTAAACAAATATTTGAATGTGTATATACACTACTATACTGTGTCTACGCAAAGTATTCTATCAAGCAAACTTTATTTGTAAAGCACCTTTTGTACCGTTTAGTGCAGTTTAAAGTGTTAATAATTATTCTCACTGTGGAGTCTAATATCCTTTTTATACTCCTGCCAATTAACTTATTGAATTTAGCATTTTCCTTTTTTTACTACACTTTTATTTGTAATTTGTATTACCTTTGTGGTAAGTTTGACCTTTTTTATCATAATCATACTTATTACTGTTGCTGCTGTGACATATAATTTTCCCTACAGGGATCAATAAAGGTTTAACTTATCTTAAATAATAAAACTAAAAGATGTTATTGGTACACAGACAAATATTTCAACAAAAGAGTAACAGTATGTTTTTCTGTATGTCAACGTCTATTGTTAATGTGTGAATATTGGCCTGGAGTGACATTCGATTCCTAAATTATTATCCCAGTCTGGCCCTGCAGAGGTGTATTTTGACATAATTAAAAATGTTCTGGTGTGCTCATCTCTTTGAACATCTCACCTGCGGCCTCCAAACCCTGGATCATCCCGTGCAGGACGTGGCTCCGGACAGTGCTCTGGGTCCAGTGCTGCTGAAGCTCAGACAGGACGTGGCTCACCTCTTCAATGTCCTGTTCCCAGGCCAGACCTTGAAATTGGCAGTCGTGCAGCACCAGCGGGTAGTCTACTGCCATACTAGAGACAAATGACAAAAGAAACATTCATACAGATGCAAATGTAGTTTTACCGTATTGTTTTTTATTATGGATTTGTACACAAACACACCTGTATTGTGGCTTCCTGGGGTTACTCTGAACATCCATGAGCTTATCAATTAGCTCCGGGTCTTCCAGTTTCTGCCCTATCAGGAGAAGGAGTGCCATCATGCATCGTACCTGCATGAAACACAACATGGAGTTCACCCAGACTGCAAATGTCACAAATCATCAATATATATATCAATATGACGGCTTGAAATTAAACATGTTAAGGAAACAAAAATCACTGATTAGTGTGTCTCCATACCTGATGGTACAGGAAGGCCAATCCTTTTATTTCAAATATGAACACATCATATGGGCCAGTGCCGGAGATGTCCTGAGGCTGCACAGGCTTTACTGATGCAGACAAGATGGTCCGCTCAAATTGAAGGACTCCATTTCCCACGTCCATTTTGCACAGGTTGCGAAAGTCATGAGTTCCCTCGTATCTGTCGGGGTTAACAAAACATCAAATCAGAACTGTGACATTGAGGGGTAACATCAGCATTCATCGTTTTGTGTCTTCACCCACCTTTTTGCCGCCTCTGCCATCAGTGTCACATCCAAGGATCCGCGGGGGAAGTAGTATCGGTACGTGCGAGACTTGCAGTCAAAGCGAGCGCTGAAGCCCTCTGCAGCTGGAGACCAGTCCAAGATCCTAATGTCCAGAGGCAGGACTCTGTTCAGCATCTTCACATAGGGAACCTCACTGCCAGTAGCTTTGTTCTTGATGCTAACATCAACATGTTCAGGAACTGAGATGCCCAGTCCTCCACAAAACTGTGTGGAGCGCAAATCGATTGTTATGACCTGTGGAGGAAAATAACAGTTGAAGTCAAAGTCTAAAATTATACATTTCCTACCTTACCTGTAGTGCTATTAATAAAGTTAGAATCTTTTAATGTGTGTGTATGAGTATATCAGACAATGATATGTCATGGCACGTGGGTTGAGGTGCTTAGGGGGCCAAAAATAATAGTGAAAAAATTATTATCTTGAGAAACAGAATCATGATTCCTAGAGACACAGCTGTTTAATTCAAATGTATTTCTTTGGTACTTTGAGCAGTAACTCTAGATTGAACAATTTCTCTTACCTTTATGCAGCTATAATATTGTTGTCATCATATTTTGGGCACAGAACTAGAGCACCATTAAGATTAATGGCATATTTTCTCAACATATTGTTACATTATTCCAATTTAGATGATGAGTACTTTGAGAACTCACTTGGGAAAAGGCACTGACTCCTTTATCAGTGCGACCACACCGGTGGTAGTTGGAGCTCTGCCTGTCCTGGATCAGCCGCGTCTTCAGCAAAGCTTCAAAGAGTCTGGCCTCCACGGTGTTGTCAGTGTTATCCTGAACTGCAAACCCTTGGTAGGACCATCCCAGGTAAGCCAGCCGCAGAGCCACATGTCGCCGAGGGTGTGCAGAGAAGTCGAAAGCACGCTCTTTGGCTACTTTCTTACCCTTTTTACAGCTGCTGGTGTTAACATCAGGTTTGGAGTCAGTGTTTTCATGAGTGGATGGATTGGACGTCAGCTCTGAATCCTCTCCAGCTTCACTTCTCTCCTTCAGCTCGGACCTGAGCTTCCCCCATTCTTCCTCCAGCTCCTTTATTCTCCTGGTTAAAGCCTTGGACATGCTGCTCAGCAATATATTCGAGAAGAGAGACCATTGAGAAGGGTAACTAATTATTGTACAATTATCTCAATCATCTCATATATACTTACTAAGCAACTTGTTTTATTATAAATATGTTAACCTGTGTAAATCCAGTTAAGCAGTAGCCTATAGTTCGTGGTAGGGTTTTATGTTAACACAATATTCATCCAGACAGCTCATTTAGCTTAAGTCCAAACGCTACACACAGTCTGTTAGCTTAGCTTGTGTGGTATGTTACATAGCATATATTAAGACTGATAGTGGGAATACATTATATTACAATACAACTATTTATTTACCTTTGATTGTGGTTTCAATGTTGTTGTTAAATTAGATTTTTCCTCTCTGCGTGCTGCTGGCGCACACGTTACTTTTCGAGCTGATAGCGGTGACGGATTGATTTTGAGAGCGGACGCATTTCCTGTTGAGGGTTTCTGGGAAATGTAGTGTACTTCTAAATTGCCTCTGCCTAGTGCAAAGCGATTAGTTCCTTTGATTGAGAACATTGCTTTTCCTAAATTATTTATAATTGTGAGATTATTTTACCTTTTCAGTCATAACAAAAAGATCGCAAGAGCATCATGGTGAGCCAATTTAACATCTCTATGTTAAATAATCTGTAACTTGATTCCTTAGTTTTGATATGTCTGTAAAAATGAATGTTCAGTATTGGCCTTCGTAGAGCTGAGTGAGTGACACAGAATTGTTGTTGAAATATTGAACATTTGTCAAAAGTTAAAAACTTTAAAGATGTCAAATCAGTTGTCAAACATAAATGAAATCCTCCAACAAGAGTTATCACACATTTATTAGATGTATTCTTAGTAGCAGGACAATTAAACATGAGACTATTATTGTTTTCGATGGCATAGACCAAACCATTCCATTTAGATATATTTTGTTAAAATAGTCAAATTTTGCAAGTGCAGAAAAAGCAGTCATTCAGTTGTTTTCAAACATATGAATTACAGAATCATCTTTAAGTCCAATTATAGGATACAAAGACTGGACAAAGCAAATACAATAGTTCCAATATGTCAGCAATGTGTGAAGTCTGCTGTGCTTGGCCACGATGACACATCAGCTCATGTTGTCATAGTCTTTCCGTTTTATTTTGCAACTGAAGCAAGCCGCGATGAATACTCCAAAACACTGTAACAGGTACAAATGTTATAAGTTACTGGAAGCAAATGAACTCAAGACAGGTCAGCAAAAGTTATTTTCTCTCTCCATATATTCTAATTAATTCTGGATTTCACCACCTTGGGCAGACAGGTTGAGATAGGCTTCATTATCATTCATGCCATCACTTTACAAATGTCTGCATTACCATAACTTATGAATATTCTCTCATTCAAATTGTTTAAATATGTTTTCCTATGTAATTTAATAAATAACTAACGGCGAAATGCATGTTATATTTATTTATTTTTATTTATAAGGAATGTGTTTACCTCTGCAATTGCAAGAAATATACAGATAACTCCCACCGCCATCAGTCTTTTCCCCAGAAATAAGTTGATGGCCTTAATGCAACCCTGAAAAGGACACACAAAATATAAATAAAATACTTACTTGTTCACAAAAATGAATTCAAATGACCATGCACTTGAAATAAGATTTCCCAGTAGACCTTTTTGCGAGCTTTGTCCTTTTCTTTCCCACAGCCGGCACCCTTCTCCACGCAGCAGGAGTCCGGCGTAGCTTCGTGGTCCTCCCAGCCCACACTGGTGGCCCAGTCGTCGGGGCCGTCCGCTCCACAGCATTTGAACTGTAACATGGTTTTATCATACATGAAAAAGTCACCAAGGTAACCTGGTGATCTGTGTGTTCATGATGCAATGTAAAACCTGTTCGATGGAAACAAAGGCATGTTTTCTTTCTTTAAAAAAAACATAAGAGTTTCTTGTGTGGACTTCTAAGAAAAGC